AAGTGGAAGTAGGAGGTAAAGGCCAGCCCCTATCTATCTGTAAAGCAGACTAAAAGCAGAAGATCTGGGGGCATGGCCCAGGTGGCAGAACACTAGAGACCTGAGTTCAATCCCCGGTAGTGCCACCAAAGAAAAAAAAAAAGAGAACAGAAATAAGACTCTATGTTGAAAATGAACTTTACAACTTTGGCAGGGAGTGGGGGGGGGGGGGGGCGGCGGGGTAGGGAAGGTTAGTTGGGGAGGGAGTGGGGAAGGAAGGGATGGTAGGGGAAAAACAAAGAAAGAAGCATCAATGCTCAATAGGAAATGTACTCATTACCTTACTCATGTAACTGTAACCCCTCTGTACAGTATTTTTTGGGGGGAGAAGGGCGATCCTGTTGTGGGGCCTGAACTCTGGGCCTGGGCGCTGTCCCTCAGCTCTTCAGCTCAAGGCTAGCACTCTACCACTTGAGCCAAGACGCCGCTTCCGGCTTTTTTCCCCCTGCTTATGTGGTGCTGAGGAATCGAACCCAGGGCCTCATGAATGCAAGGCGCTCTACCACTGAGCCACCTTCCCAGCCCCTGAACAGTATTTTTTACAATTAAAAATGTATTTAAAAAAAAAAAAGAACAGAAAGACAACTGTTCTGAGCAGCTAAGGCTCAATGTAAAGGCTTTTGCCCAGAATTCGCAAGGCCCTTTGATCCCTAACACCACAAACATGAAACAGAGAGTGTTTGAGAAAACAAATAGTAATAAGTGCTATATAAGGATTGCTATGACATAACATTAGCCTCCACTGCAAAACATTTATATTGTATAATACTATTTTCTAACAGCTTTTGAAAGTGATACCTAAATACAGTTGGGTAGCTTGCTTACTGATCTAGAGCTATAATGGGCTAAACCATTATCTCCAGTCAATATACTCTAGAGCTCTTGAAAGATACAGATCAGTACCCCACATCATCTCCTCTGTTTCTGGTCCTGTGTGCCTATTTCTCCAGGTCTGGGTATTGTTTTTGTTTGTTTGTTTTCATTGCAAAGGTGATGTACAGAGGGGTTACTGTTACATAAATAAGATAATGAGTATATTTCTTTTTGAGCAGTGTTCCCCCCCCCATCGTTTTAATCCTGTACACACACACACACACACACACACACACACACACACACACACACACACACACACACACACACACACACTCCTTCCTTCCCAAGTTGTAAAGTTCATTTCCAACACGGTGTCTAGTGAGTATCACTGTTGGATTGGTTCACCCTTTGTCCCACCATTTCTGTGATCCCCCTATCCCTTCCCCAAGTCAGATAAACTTAACATACAAGACAAAGCAATTCTATGCTTCCATCAGAAAGAATGACATCACTCCATCCATAAGGAAAGGGAAAGACTTGGAAAAAGTCATATTAAGTGAAGTGAGTCAGACCCAAAGAAACATAGGCTCCATGGTTTCCCTCATTTGTAATAATTAGTATATGCCTAGGATAGTCCTAGCAGAGGTTCACAGTAGCCCAATAGTTATGTACATATAACCACATAAAATGATACTAATTGAAATGATCTCCACAATATAGCAACAAGAAGGTTTGTGTGTGTGTGTGTGGAGGGGGGGTGATTTTCTTTTTTTCTGAGTCTGGTTTATGGACTCTGAATGCACTAGAGTTGCTCAGGAAGTGGCCTCCAAGACCTCTTGGTCCCTCCTACCCTGCCAGATCATGGGATATAGTTACATCAACGTACATATTTGAAGTAACAGTTAACTACTGAACTGTTCTTTTCAAGAAGAAACAGACTGTCCACTTATCTCCTTCTCCAACAAACAGCAGGACGCTTATCTCCAAGATGAACAAGCAGAGTTTGGCTACCGGAGATCCCTAGTTCCTGGCTGGGTTGATGAGTTTGCTAAGTGCTAATTTTGATAAGCAAATTCTGATACAGACTGACTCTTTTCATGATGTTTAATTTGCCAGCCCATGCATGAGCCATACAGGGCCTTCTAAAGCACACTTGGAAGTGAGCAAGAGTGAACTAGAGAAGTCAGTTTTGTTTATGCTATAAAAGCATAAACCATACTGTGAGTATCTCAACTTATTAAGCTTTGGATGATAACTTTTACCACCCCAAGTTTATAAAACATGCTGTCTGTATGTCAGTGACTTTGTTTTAAAAATTGGTGCCTTCTTTATTTTTGACTCCAGATTTAAGGCAGCCAACTCTCCATGTATGGAGAGAAGCAGGGCTCTAGGGCCAGGGGAGGTGAGTGGGTGTCATATCAGCAGATAACCTGGATGGCATTAAGTTCTCTATATTGGCTTATAGAGCGATGAATCAGCATCTGTGGACCTTGTGCAGAATACAAACAGGAAGATATAATCAGTGTTGTTGGGAAGTTAGAGTATCATAGGTTTTTACCTACTTTGCATACAACCTTCCCATCTGTAGAAGGCACCTAGAAGATAGCCAAGACACCTTCCTTCCCTTCACCTTTTAAATGCTTCAAGTTAACTTTTTTTTGTGTGTGTGAGATCATCTTCTTTTTTGGTACTGGGGATCAAATCCAGGGCATTATGCTTCTAGGCAAGTGCTTTGCCATTGAGCCACATCCCAGCCCTTTAATGCTTTAAATTTAAATGCTTTAAAGCTGGGCATTGTTGGCTTATGCCTATAATTCTAGTTACTTAGGAGGTTGAGATCTGAGGATCTAGGTTCAAAGCCAGCCCAGGCAGGAAAGTCCCTGAGCATCTCCACTTAACCACCAGAAAACCAGAAGTGGCACTGTAGCTTAAAGTTGTAGAGTGCTATCCTTGGGCAAAAAAAGCCCCATGACTGACAACAGAAAAAAAAAAGAAAAGAAAAAGACTAGTGAAGATTTGGTATCTGTGACAGGTAGTTAACCCGTTAAGACTTTGGCATTGTATACTGGCTTTGGATCTATCCTGAGACCTTGCTTTCTGTGAGTTGTTTAAAATGTAATTTCAATGTACTTTTTTTCTTGGTGACAGAAATATTTGTGTAGCAAAGATACAGCCAAAGTAATTGTTTATGGTTGTATGTGTGTTCAGGGGCTTTTTCTGACTTCTGAAACTTTCTGTCCATTATCCTCTACCAGGGCCTCCTGTAGCAGCTTCCCCTCTGGTTATTTACAGAGTTCAAGGGGTGTGTGTGTGTGTGTGTGTGTGTGTGTGTGTGTGTGTGTGTGTGTGTGTGTGTGTGTGTGTGTGTGTGTGTGTGTGTGTGTGTGTGTGTGTGTGTGTGTGTGTGTGTGTGTGTGTGTGTGTGTGTGTGTGTGTGTGTGTGTGTGTGCGCGCCACATTGAAGTCTCTCTTAGAGCGCTTGCCTAGCATGCATGAAGCCCTGGATTCCTTAGTACCACATAAACAGAAAAGGCCAAAAGTGCTGCTATGGCTCAAGTGGTAGAGTGCTAGCCTTGAGCAAAAGAAGCCCAGGAACAGTGCCAAGGCCCTGAGTTCAAGCCTCAGGACTGGCAAAAAAAAAAAAAACCCCAAAACCCCTGAGTTGTAGGGTATGTTTTGTTTTGTTTTTGCAGTGGGAAATGGGGTAGGGAGTTGAAATGTGGTGGTTTTGCTATGTAGCTCAAATTGGCCTTGAATTTGAGATTCTAATGCCTCCACCTCTTAAGTGCTGGAATTACAGATGTGCACCACCACACCAAGCTCAGCTCTAATTCTTTAGTGTGGATATCATTGTTGAAATTCATTTGGTCAGGAAAGATGGGGTGAGGGGGCCTGAGAAGAATTAACAAGAACTCTTTCAGACACTTAGCAATTTTTATGTGTGCTCATAGAGCTGTGAATCAACGTTAGTTTTGTGGAACTTTAGCAGAAATATAAAAACTTTAGCAGAGAAAGATACTAAGTATTGTTATGAAGTCAAGAGTATCATAGGTTTTTTTTTTTTTCACCTACTATGCTGAGTTTGAAATGTAGCACCTGTGTTTAAATTGTGAGTCTAGTGCGTTCATTTTACAGTAAGCAACTCTAAGGTAATGTGAATAACATTTGAAATCCCAGGATCTTATCTTTCTTCCTGGACACATTACTGACTCTTTCTCCTCTGAGCTTGATGCTTTTCTTTGTAGTATGAGAATATTATCTTCCTAATGCCTGATGGTTTGTTGTTTTTTTTTTAATGACTCACAATTTTGTTCTCCTTCCTCTTTGGCCGTCTCATGGCTTTTAATGGTTTCATTAGCAAAGGCATGAATGTGCTGGGTGTGTGAGTTAGTGACAGCTTAATGAAAGGGCCCACCCTTTCCTCTCTCCTTTCAAAAATGCCTTTTCTTTCAAATCCAAAACAGTTCCTCTCTCGTTGTGGTGTTTGCAGACTTGAACCCATCTATCTTCATTGGCTGCATTAATATTGAGACAAAACATGCAATTATGCCTTCTTTGGCCCTGGGTAGCACTTTGGAAAACTGGCTGTATCCGAACCTGCTTTCATGGAAACCAGTCTTCCAGCTTTCTCAGGTTTCCCCATACATTCCATCTCATATTGATTTCCAGGTGCTATATGAGATTTCTGTGGAAATTTTTACCTTAGCAAATGACTAAACTAGCTATCATACTGATAAAGTTAAGTTTTTCTGCTGTAATCTATTTTAATCTTTTCCCCTTCCTGATGTTGGGAGTTAAACATAAGACCTCATGCATACTAGACAAGTGATCTAGACACTGATCCACATATACCCTGAGCACTCAAGTTTATCTCTTTGGTGATATTCATTGTATCATTTTGTTTTTGAACCCTTTGATAATGTATGAATGGCCCAGGATGTTCTTAATTCTTGCATTTTGGGATCACCAGTTCTGTAAGAGCATTCTATTCTTGCATGGCTTATTCTTTGGCCAGAATTGTATGGCAGATGCTGCCACTATCATTGTGCATGGTTAAAAGTAGACTTGCTCCTAGCACTCACCTGTGAAACGGGGGTCAATGCCAGGTTCACACAGTGACCTTTGTTCTGTTTGTTCTGACCCAGCTTCCATGAGGCAGTCTCAGGAAGAACCTGCAGATTTGCGCCCAGAGATATGGATCGCCCAGGAATTGCGCCGTATTGGAGACGAGTTCGATGCCTATTATCCAAGGAGGGTAAGGATGATTTCCCCACCTGCTTCCCCTCCTTCTTTCCTCCTCCTCACCATAAGAAAGAAAAGGAAAAAAAAAAAAAAAAGACAAACTAGCTCCACACTAATCCTGGAAATGAAGGTATTGCCTCCATGTGACCCTCCATTGTTTCTGCCTTCCTGTTTTCCGTTTGTTTATGGCTGAATTTAAGTGATGGCCTTTAAAGAAAGTACAGTATGAGGCCACACACAGTGTTTTATGAACAGAAGCCTTAAAACATCAGTGCTAACGGAAAAAAGATTATAGGATTTTGAAATATTCCCATCTAAATATTATGCACATAGTTTTGGTGCTTCCTGTAGGCAGCTTGGGTGAAAGTTACAGAAATTTTAAAATGTGCTTCATCATTCAGCCCCTCCGGGTCAGTGCCCACCCAGATCTAGACTCCTGTGATTGATCGATCACAGCAGGGAGGGAGAAGGGAATCCCTGTCTTTGTTTACTAGCATGTGTAATTGGTGCACCAGTAGTCAAGGGGAAGTCAGCCCCTTGGATTTTGAGGTATGTTCTTGACCTTTAAAGAAATTTTGAGCTCTATATCTTCTGAGGGAGCAGTATTTTAATGGAGAAAAAAAAAAAACCCAAAACCTTGCTTTTGTTTGTCTGATAGAATCCCTGTGACTGACTAGACCCATTTAGGTGTGAGGATTTCAGGTCTGGGAGTGGAGGCCTTTGAGAAGGGTGACAGATCCTCTGAGGGATATACGAATCAGTTACCACAGAAGGTAGTTTTCACTTGGTCACATTCTTTTCAACACCTCCTGTGAAGACTGTCCTATTGATTTATCCAAAAGGAAATCACTGTATCTTACTTTGTGGAAAGTGTTACAATTGTTAACATCATTCCTATTTTGTCACTTTTATTTTTGGTTTGTTTGATTTTTTTTATGGTAATAGAGTTTGAACTCAGGCCTTTATGATTGCTAGCAAGTATTGTACTACTCAAACCATGCCTCTGACCCTTTTTACACTGCCTATTTTTGACATAGGAATTTGCTCTTTGGGCAGTCACTTTGAATCATTTCCTTTCTCTCCCCCCTCCCCTCTCTTTTCCTGATTCTCCTACTTACATTCCCCACTGTAGCTGGGATAACAGGTGCACAGCACCAAACTCATTGTTTCTCTTAAGATAGGATCTTGAGAATTTTTTCTAGCTCCAGCTAGCCTCAAACTGCTGTCATTCTATCTCAGCCTCCTAGCTTTTTATTGGTTGAGATAGACTCTTTCAAACTTTCTGGACTGGCCTTGAACCACAATCTTCCCAATCTCTGCCCCCAGAGTAGCTAGGATTAACAGGCATAAGCCACCAGTGCCTGTCACCCTAGCTGGTTTTTGTTGTTGTTGTTGTTTCCCTGAACAGTATTGTTTCTATAAACTTAAAAAAAAAATCTTTCTTCTGAAGGAGTCATGCACAAGATACCAATGTTTCTAACTCACTTTCAAAGTCTGTCTCTTACTTAGCCAGCCATTGCTAAATAAGTGGACATTCCCTGTTAATTACTTTGAATAACTGATACTTTTTCTATATTCAGTGCTGCTCAGGTCTCCTTGACACACATAGAAAGACACTTTCCCCTTGCCTATGATTCTCATTTCTTCTGTGTCAAATGACATGAGATTTGGGAGAAGAGTGCCCTAGTTATAATTAGGTAATTAAGTGGGAACTGTCATGTTGATGAATGGGCCAAAGAGTATCTTCTAATACTGTCTAGCTAGAACAGCCCGGCACCCTCTACCTGATAATGGTCAGTTCATGGAACTCCCTTCTCAGCCTGGATCTGAAATGGCAACTTTTTTTGGAAGGTTGGTTAAGTTTGAAATTTACCATGTGCTAGGCTCTCATCAGAAACAGTGTGTTCAGGAGGTTGGGCCTCATGCTAAGGTGTGAGGAGAGACATGTGGCTACATTCAAGTCCTGATTCAAGAGCTATGTCCAGAGTCCTTCAGGACAACAGATCATTATGGGTCTAGAGCCAACTCTGAACGTAGGTGATCATGCAAGGCATGTCTTCTTCCCTATCTTGAAGAGTGGATATAGAGATTCTCTCAGTACTGGGCATGGTAGGTGGGGTTCTCGGACAGGGCAGTAGTGTCCCGAGTGTGTTCATCCTGTTGGGGGCTGTGTACACTGAGAAGGAGCTAGTACAGCTACCCATGCTTGCAGGTCTATAGAGAGCCTTTGCCTGCAGAGCTGGGTGTGTTACGGAGCTTTCCTAAGTTTTACTTGTTGACTGAGTATAAACAAGTGACTGTAAGGCTTTCTGGGGGCCTTCTCAGATGGAGCTTGAGAAGGGTATATTATGAGACACAGGCTGAGGGCCATAAGGGTTCGAAGTCCAGCTATATCCACCACTGTCCTCAGATACGCTTAAGCATTCCATGCAGGTGAGACACAGGCTACCAGCTTTTTTTCATTACCACACCTCACCTCATCATTTAGGATGAGATCCATATGGCCTCCTCCTTTTCCCACAGGTCATGTTGAAGGGTGTGCATTAAGATGAGCACATCTGTGTTTGAAATGAGAGGTGCCCTTTCGTTCCCCCACAGCTTTGATCAAACTTCTAAGCCTTGTTGCACTGTTTTGCAAGTTTTTATAATTGTGCATCTTATCATATTTTAGAAATCAATCCTGTGTCAAAATTTATTTACCAATAAAGGTCTTTAGCCTTTTACTCTAGGCTACAATACTGAGGAAAGGAAGAAGGGAGTAGATTTTAGATTAGAACCTAAGTTTCCTAAAACACAGGCAAATAGATACTCAAGATCTTATAAATAACCCAACCCAAAACATCAGACTCTGAAACCCTGGGAGCTGACCCAGTGACCCTCAACGCCTGTCTTGATAGAGTTAGATGAAGAGCAGCCCATTGTCTATTCTCACAGGAATGGCCGGTTGTTGAACTTGAAGATAGAGGGAGGAAGGCATGAAGGCCAGTGTGGAAAATGAAGAAGCCAAATGAACCTGCTTTCTCCAGAGCATTCTCTCACACTAATTTAGGGCGGTTGTAGCTCTTTAAATGATTACACCATTACAGTACCAAAAGTGTTGGTCTTATTGCCATGAGCCTTGAGAAGCCTGACAGGATATTTTCCCCTTTTTCCAGTTAGAGAAATAGATGTTGCCATGTAGTTGTCATGTGTTCAGCCCACTTAAGGGTAGTGGGGAATCATGAGATGGAGCTGTGGAGTTTGAACCAATGACTTGGGAATGAGAGAGGCACAGGTGAGCACCCACTCCCTGTGCTTGGCCCTTTATCTCTGACTCCTTAGCCTCCCAAGTGACCTACATGAAAGCTGCCATTAGGAGCTTTGCTGTTCCACACCACGTCGATTTGGGGCAACTTTCTGATTTTGAAAGAATGTAAGATTTGTATCAGTGGTGCAAAAAGCGTAACCTGACACCTTGGAGTCCCTGTGTGAACAAGCCACATGACTTTGCTGTCTTCTAATGCACTTGTTCTCTGCACAATCTCCACCACTTCGTCATACTTCAGCCAGTGTTACCTAACAATAAGATATTCTGCAGAATCTCAGAGTAACTGCCAAAATCAGCCACTGAAAAAAAAACTTGTTTCGCTACTACTTCCTGCTCTGCAGATATCAGTTTATCAATTGTCTCTTCAATGTTATTTTTTAGTCCCCCAAATACATCTGGACCTAAGATATAGTTTAGGCTCATGCGTTGAGTTTCCGTGTCTTATCTCTTGGCTACGTTCATTTGGAATTGTTTCTCACCCTTGGTCTTCACAGACACTTGGGAAAGGTCAGAGCAGTTCTAGTTTATGTCTTCATTGGTATTTCTATGTGATGAAACTCAGAGTTTGGATTTCTACTCTTGGGAGGTACAAGTGTTCCTCTAGCCTGTCCTGGTGCCAATAACATGGATCAGAGATGTTGGTGACACTGTAGAGTTAGGGCTTTTTCATTTAATGAGCACAGCAAACTTATAAGTTAAAAGAATTTATTCCCCATTGTTGTTTTTGTTTAGTTTACCAACTTGGATTTATGGTTTGTTTTATTTGGTGGGCTATTGTGTTTGATTCTTAGTATTTATCTTGAAGCTCAGTTCTCACTGGCGTGGCCTTTAGCTCTCAGAAACACAGTGTTGTGAGACTAGCATTATGGAGCTCTTACATGATGTTAGTTAAAGCTTGGTACTGATGGCTCATGCCTATAAGTCCTAGCTACTCAGGAGGCTGAGATCTGAGGATCATAATCAACGCCAGCCCAAGCAGGAAAGTTTATGAGACTCTTAATCTCCAATTAACCAACAAAAAGCCAAAAGTAGAACCCTGGCTCAAGAGGTAGAGACTAATACTCACACACACACACACATACACACACACACAATGATGGTGGTTGAGTGAATTCTACCCATGTAGTACAGACTATGTCATCTCCTCATGTCCACTTTCCCACTTTGCAGTCTTTGGGAGGCCCAGGAGGGCAGCAAGAGCTGAAAGACTGGGAGCTTAGGAATGTCAGTGGACCTAGAGGAAAGAGAATTCAAAGAAGCTGACTCTTGGTTTTGGAATTGATGGAGAGGGCAGACTGCTTGTATTTTATTTATTTTTTTAAGTTTTTTTTTAGTTATTGTAAAGGTGATATACAGAGAGGTTACAGTTTCATAAGTCAGATAATGAAGACATTTATTCTTGGAAAATGACACTCCTTCCTTCACTTTCTCCTATCTCTACCCACAAGTTGTACAATTCATTTTCAGCAGTGTATGATGAGTACCGTGCTGCATTTAGCTGAATGTCTTTTGTGTCTCAGCAGCCTGTACCTGCAGCCTCCTCATCCTCATGGATGGATAGATGCCACCACATAAGACCTGCTGTCTTGTTCTCTCTTCACCAGTTTCCTCCAAGGCACAGAGGCTGTGCCAGTGCCTGGTTGGATGCCAGCAAGGGCAATTCGTGGCCTTCTGGTTATAGAGGTGCATATCTGCTTGAGTGGGTA